CGTCCAACGAACGACCGACTTACTCTACGAGACCCGACCCTACCCGGTCCGACTTGTTGTCGTAGACGTCACGGCGTCTCGTGGTAGTAACGACGTCGAGACGCCGTCCTCTCTCTCTCTCTCTCTCTCTCTCTCTTATAACTGAAAATTCAAAGAGAATGAAAGTTGGAAGTTGAAAAAGAGAAGAGGAAGAGAGAGAGAAACTTGTGTTGTCGTCTGTCATTCTCTGAGACAGCTACAGAGAATGTCTGCTGGCGTGAAAAAGTCCTTTGCCCGGCGTGAGGACGACGCAGAAGCACCAACAACTGTCAACCCCAGTCTCTTCCTCTCTAAAGTAATTACCACGCTCTATCTCTCTCTTTCCCTAGACATAAAGTCTCTTGAAAAATTTACAAATAACCCCCCAATAGGAGTTCTTTATCCACGTACCCAACCAAATTGTTTTGGTATTTTTATCCCAAAATATATTTTCTTGAGAAGGTAAAAAGGATTTTTTTATTTTTTTATACTAAAACATCTTTTTTCGTATATAAAAATTTGATTTTAACCGGACATTTATTTGGGCTTACGCACAATACCAAAAGTTACATAGGCCGTCGGACTGCCATGTACCAATTGTCAGACCCTGTTAAATTAAAAAAAAAGGCATTTAACCAGTGTTTGACATTGTCAAAGTACACTTTGGACCCTATTGTCGGCCGCATGGGTCTATTGCTGGACCGCATGGGCCTATTGCCAGATTGCATGGGCTTATTGGCGGACCGTTGTTTGGCAGTGTTGGACCGCATGGGCCCATTACTTGACCGTTTTTTGTCTGAACTGCTTTGGGATATTGTTGAACCGCTTGTTTATACGGTCATATGGCCTTTTTGTGTTTTAACTTAAAGAAAAAGTTAAGTAGTTGGTGGAAGAGAGAGACAAAGAGGGAATTTTTTCGTCTTAAAAATTATGACTTGTTGATTGGGGGTATTTTGCTAAAAAACTTGTTTTGGAGTAAATATTATGATAAAAAACTTGATTGGTTTTGGAGTTTCTCCTAGCTGTTGGGGTGAAAGCCACTTCACAAGCGTGAGATAGGCGTTCGAGGCCGGGTCAGGACTTTAAAATGAAATTGTATATTAAAATATTTACATTAGGCACGGAAATGTCACAATTAATTATAACCATCCGAAATTTGAGATTTGTCATAAAATTTAAAAAAACTTTTTTTTAATTTTGAGCTTGGTACATCAAATAAATGTAGCCACTCAGTTTCAAATCAAATGGCCTACTATATGCTTTCCTATTTAAAATAGCTGCGGCTCTCTCTCCTCTCTTTTTCTCTCCCTAAAAATGAAAAAGAGGGTGTATTGACGTCCCACGCTGTGCTCTAAGACAACTTTGGAGCGTCTCAAAATTGGGTTGCCGCAAGAGAGGGCGTACATACTTCATGTTCATAAAAGTGTTTTAGGTCTTCTATTGGTTTTGGAGCGGCCCTGCTCTGATTCGTGTTTAACTAAGTGATGTGATGGATCGATCACTCACAAATCGGCTCAGATTGTTGGATCAACGAATTGAATTGGATTTAGATTGGTCTAGATCAGTGATCGAAAACAAATTTAAAATTAACTCAAATGTAGGATTGCACGGCCCGATTGCATAATCCAACTGTAAGCCAAGTTTGGTTATCCTAGAATCAGTCTAGATAACTGGCCGAGTGAGGCAAATACGAGCTAAGCAAAAAAGTGTTTAAAAAATAAAAAAAATTCAAAAACATTCTAAAAAATATAAAAAATATGTTTAAAGTAAAATTAAATAAAACACATCTAAAAAAGTAGTGAAAATAGAATTTGAAAATTCAATTTGTGATCAACGATATTTTTAAAATAATTCAAAAAAAAAGAAAAAAATATAAAAGTAAGTATTCATGACCAAAATACATTCCAATCATTGCCAAAATCATAGAAAACATATTAAAAATAATTTTTTTAGATTTTTAAATAATCTTTTGTGATTTTTTTCAAAACTTGGGAACTTGTCCACCAAAACCGGGCTTAACCGGATCGCCCATGGGCCAGTTCCGGGTAACATGGCTAGGTCCAATTCGACCCAACCAGTTTGTCTAACATTGGTTTTAAAACCCACAAATTTATCAAATTACTGAATCAGGTCTAGATTGGTCTAAATTGGTGACCTATAATTTTTTAAAATAGCTAAAATATATAAAAACAAAATAGGGTTTATGGATTAAAATGAACTAAGAAATTATTAGACAGGCTAAATAAAATAAAAAAAATTTATAAGAGGGGGAATTTTAGGGAGGAATCGAGCAAGAAACAGTATGGTACCCGACCAATTACCATCTGGATCAGCGGTCTGGATTGGCACTCGCCAAGTTCTAAAATACTCAGTAACCCCAATTCGTCTAATAATAGTAAATAAAGAAAGATTAATATTATATTTGTGTGGAGCATGTTGTATAACTACTCCCTCAATTACTATCCAAAACTTGGATGATCTTTGTTAAGTCTTGAGACATTATTTTCTTCAAAAGCATAGAAAGTTCTATTTCGAAATTCTTCTATTGAGGTCACTCTGTGGGTTGAGTTTACATTCCTCAAAATTTAGGATCCCAAAATTATTACTAAATTTAATTTTACTAGAGGGAGTAGGTATACTCCTTCAGGATCATAAAGTCTTTTAAGGGGAAGCATAAAAAGCTTACCCACTTTTAAAAGGGATTGTAGGCTATAAGGTCGTTCACTTTTGATTTAAAAATATCAAAATTACTTTTAGCCACTATTATATAACATAATATTTCTGATCTAGTTTGTTGATCCAAATGAGAAATCGAGTAGAATAGAACCAGTTTCAAGATTGTGTCAGTCCCAGAACCACCCCCTCCCTTTTTCTTTTTTTTTTAATTTATCTAATATTTTTTTAAGGTCAACAAAATCCACACCTTATAAACCCCTATTTTAATTTTTTTTATTTTAATATTTTCTAAATCATCTACTCAAACTGATCCAGATCACCGATCTAACAATTTGATACTATCTTGCTAGGTGAATGATCCAACCTACTGCTGTAGTTTTTGAAATACTGCTCTTAGCCATTGGAGGTCAAATACTACATATTGAAGTATGCCACAACATTCGCTAAATTTATTTTGAACTTTCTGTGTAGTCAACGACACATTCCCAACCAGTTGATCTCACCTTTAATGGTCAATAATAATTGTGGCTTCCTTATAACAAAAATTAATGATCATATCGTGTACATTTTTTTAAAAAAAAATATTTATTTAAAATTTTTAAATAGTTGCCTCTCTCTCTCTCTCT